AACAACAACAACAACAACAAAATAGGGCTTTGACTGGAAGGAGGTCCCCCTAAGCTGTTTTGTCTGGAAATGTTTTTTTGACTGGTGTAATAGACAGTACTGGAAGCTATTTAAATAATGTTGAATCTTTTTATTTATATAAAATAGCCAAGATGGCAATAAATACCACCATAGGAGCCAGGTGAGAAGGTGTTGAGAAGTTATTCTTTGGTTATCTTGTTGCGGGCACTCACAGGTGTTTCTTGCTGCATGTTTTAGGTGCACTAAATTGTTAGAAACTCTAAAGAAGAAGATCTTGGCTCTACCTATTAATGATGTCATGAATGAGGAGTTGTTTGTTAATCTTGAGAATATACGAGCCAAGTTTAAACAGGTATTGACATAAAACTGTCTCAGTACTAGTCAACAATGCATTTTATTGATTTCTCGCATCTTTTTTTCCGTCTTTGTGTTGGCTTCTTATTCTCTAGAGTTTACACAATATTATGGAGTCAAATTTCTTGTATGTAGTGTTGTATGTGGCAGAATCTACATGTATGTCAAAGTGTCTTCTCATGAGGTGTCCATAAGCAGAGATTTGACTCTTTTTTTTGCCTTAGCTCTGTTCACTGTTAGGAGTCAGTGCAGAGTACAGAGGTGGTAGTATGCCTGGACTGTCCTTCTGAAAATGAAAGTCTTACCAGCAGAAAAGAGTGTGGCAGAGATGGAATTCAAGTCACTTTGAGGTAGAAATTTTAATAGCATTTTAACCTTGGGTTTCCCTAGTGGTGCTTTTTGTGGCAATCTCATCTTTTGATTCATAGCTCAACTTTGATTTGAAGGGATTCAGGTCACCCTCTCTACCAGTTCATTATCGAGTTCATCTTCTTACTTTTTTGTCTAACGAGACTAGCTTCTTGTCTGGTCAAAACATGTCCCTGGTCTCAAAATGGCCTCCTTACAGACAAAAAGTATTTGCATGCTTGCACTAGTCATGTGTCAACTAACAGGTTTAGCTTCCTGTATCATGTCATGCATTTTTATAGTTTACCACTCTACTTTTTTTCAGGTTCTTGAATGATTTGAGAAAGAAAAAAGAAGAGACTCATTTTGCTCTGTAGAGCAGGCTCAGGGAGATGCTGCTTGAGTGATGGCACTGTTTTCACACTTATTCTAACTTACAGTTCTGGAGAAAATTAAGAGACTGATCTCAGTCTATAAGTGTGCACTTTCTGTTCAGTAGCTAGATACAAACAGCTCTGTGTTGCAGGATTTTAGCTTCAGTGATACTAGTTGAATCTCTTTTAAGACCTCATGTAATAATAAAGTCATTTATGTCCAAATTATACCAAACCATGTTAATTAAAATAGTTACTCTGTTCTATTTCTGTTTGTCTGTTTCATGTAACTAATTTTATTGAGGGAATTTACGAACATGTAGACTACAAGCAACCCCTCTTCACACAGTCTGTTGAGAGTGATGTGAGAAGAAAGGGCAAGGAAAATTATTGGTGGCAAGAAACATGGCGGGTGAGCAGCTCAGACAATTTTTCTCTCACTCAATTTTGTGTCAGGCTCGATGGAGTCAGGACCAAGCTGAAGAGGGACTGCCCAAAGTCTAAAATAGACAAGAGAAATCCATGGACAAGCAGAAGGCACATCCAACTGCTTCTTGCATTTCTCAGGGTTCCCAAGTGTTTTAACAATGCTTGTGGAGCAAGGTTTCTATTTACTTCATAAAATGTTGAAGAAATTACACTTCTTGAGCTTGTGATGTATGCCACATGCATTGAATAATAACGAACTTCAGCTGCCCAATTCAAATTGACCAATATTTTGCAGTGTGGGCATAAGTGGTGTGCAAACCTGTAGAAATAACACACCAAAACTCAACTAAAGCAGTTGTTGTGCAGACCATTCATTTATTCCACTGGACCAACATAGGCAACCTGCTGTCTTTCTGGGGATGGGTGTTTAATTACAAAAATATGATTGGTAAATAAATATCAAATTTGACAAATACAATCTTACAAATTATTTAATAATAACTTCAGCTATCAGGCATGTCCTATCAGAAAATGATGAATTTTATGCGGTCTAGGCAAAGAAAAACTTTCTTGAATTTAAATAACAGCTAACATTTCCCAGCAGTCATTTCTTCTTCCCCTTAGCTTTCCTGTTTTCAATGTCTCTGAAGAGGAGAGGTGGAGATGGGGGCTGCAGTTCCACCTTGCCTTTTATTCTGTCACTGCTTCTTTTTATTTTTGGTGGCATCCAAGGAATAGGATTACAATAACTTGGTGCAGGATATGACCCCCACTCGTAATACCCTGTCAACATCCCTCCTGTATAACCAAAGCTGTTATAAACAGGTCTAGGTCTTTCCTTTACTTCTGCAATCCACTTGCCATAAGCTTCCTCATTATTCAGTTTCCTTGTCACTTCTTTGTCTTTCTTTATTCTTGCTTCTTCCTCCTCTTTTCTTTTTTTCTCATTTTCCTGTGTTTTCTTTTCTTCCAGCCAGTTGTTGTATTTCACTACTGCTTTCTCTTGAGTTGAGCGGTTTAAATTCTCGTTCTTTACCATTTCCAACTTTTCTTGCTGTTGTTTTATTCTCCTTTCCTCAGCAATTGACTTCTTTTTGCTTTCTAACCATTCATTGTACTTCTCGCTTGCAATTTTCAAAAGTTCTTCTCTGTCTCGTTTCTCCTTTTCAGTTTCCTCTCGTGCTTTCTTTTTTTCAAGTCTTTTCTGTTTCATCTTCTCACGATCTTCAGCTGTCTTTTTCACAAGCCAGGTTTCCCATGGTGAAAGGCAGTCGGTTTTGTTTTCGACTGTTTTAGAGCTATTAGCTGTGCGGCCATCTGTATTTGATCTCGATACAGATCTGGTATTTTTACTGACTGATTTTTTTCGTCCTGAAAATGATGAAATCGGAGTCGTGTAACTCCTGGATGTTTTGGTCTTGTTCTTCGGTGTGCTGTGAGATCTCTCGAATTCGAGGCTATACTCTTTTTCGTCGTCTGTCTCCTCGTCACCGCTCAAAGAACCTTCAGATAATTCTGGTTCTTCAATTTGACCGCCATTACCATAAACTGGAGAAAGCAACGAGCGAGTCGATTCACCAAGAGAATCATCAGAAAATGTCTCTGAAAAAACACGTCTTTCTCCTTGTTGTCCTCCATACATTTCCGCTGCTAGACTGTGCTTGTTTATACAGTATCCCTTTTGTGTCAAAACGTCAAAGTTTTGATCTTTGTTACACACTGCACAACGGTCAAAATAACGCCGCCATTTTGAAAATAACGGTGGGAGACTAAGGCGAGTACTTTTGGCGGCGGAGTTCGGAGTTCGAGAACACTTCGGTAGATTTCGACGTGTGAGAATGTCCGTTATTCAAATTTATCGAGAATTATGGATATCCCTTTCTTAGTAAGAGCTGCATTCGCTGTTTTGTCATGTTTGGTTATCGTGCGACGCGGATTGAAGAAAAAATCTCTTGATTTAACGGGCGCTGTTGCTTCTGTTGTGGTTGGTTTCATATTGACTTTGAGCAACCTATGTTTTTTCGCTTCCTGTGTTACTTTCTTCCTGACAAGTTCTAAGCTAACGAGGTTCAAATCCGACATCAAGGAAAAAGTTGAGGACGATTTTAAGAAAGGTTTGTACCATTGCTAAGTTAGTGCTACAGAAGGAGCGTGTTAAATGTTAAGAATTGTAATTTACTTTGTGAGAGACAGACTGGCTAGAATCCACCTCACTCTAGCTTCAATATAACTTCAGCTTACGTTTCTTTTCTAATCATGATTCCTCCACTAAGGAGAAAACGGTTACGACTATAAAAGCCACATAAAAGCTAGAAAAACAGTGAGCTGCTTTTATAAAGGCTGCCAAATAAAAAAACAAGAATATTTCATTAATGATTTAACGCTAAATGAAAATAAGACTTTTTCAATTAACTAATCCTGTAAGTAGTCTTGAGGTAAATCCCAGGGTATCAAATCGATGGAAACTGATGATCAGAAATTCAATCGATCAATCGATATCAATCGATAAAATTAGTTAATTGGCATCGATTGGTATCGGCCAGTCGATGACCAATCAATAACCACACAAAAACCATTCATCAATTGCTATCGATTGGCTCAGCAACTTCGTACAGACTTCACGCACACTACCTGTCGGATCATCTGCCATTTTAGGAAGCCCTGGGGACCAAATTGGTAAAACAAATTCCGACCCAGTCTTCTCAACGCAGAGAATATACCCTGTTGCATGTGTATTCGAATTACTCACTTGCAAGTCATTGCCCTTCCGTGTCATAATGTCTACGCAAGATGTCCGGGTAGAGGCTTTATTGAATATAAGGTGCATCGTCAAATGCTATCATCGTTGCCGAAGAAGAGGGGAGAACGGGGAAATGCATTTAAAGTTGTGAATCATTGTGGACAGCTTGGCCACCTACAGTCCGAGCTTGTGGATCCTCTTTGGCCACTACATGCAGATATTTCTGTGTTGTTCTCCTGTTAACATTAAAATGAAATGTGTTTACAATTACTGCGTACAAGTTGTGTTTTTTATGCGACAATTCTGGTTCCGTCAATCTGCAACCAATCGATACCAATCGATACCAATCGATACCAATTTATCTAGCGATTGGTATTGATAATCGATACCAATTGATAACCACACAAATCTTCGCCATCGATTGGTCATCTATTATCAATATCAATCATTTAATTGATATCGATTGGTATCGATTGATATCGATTGTCATTGATTATCGATTCCATCGATTGGATACCCTGGGGCTAAATCCAAGCATTCTGATTGGTTCTTTCTTGGGTATGATTTCACCATATGGATTGGTAAACGTGGAATGGTCATAACCATGTACGTTTTTGTTTTGTAAAGCTGGCAAATTCAAATTTGAATGCCATATATTCACCTGGTTACTACCTTACTTTGCTTGAGCTGCATGTACTGAGGAATATTGGCCCTCAGTCCTTTTTGGTACAGATCTCACTGCAATTGGTTCGTACTGCCATGACCCTGGACCAATATTCCCCAGTATGGCTCTCTTACTTGCTTAGTAAGGTGACACAGGGCAGGAAAAATCCTAAGTCTGATTGTGCGAGGCAAGTATATTTTGCTCTTGGGCAACTGAAATGGAAGTTTCATGGTGCAGTGGGTGAGTAAAATTAGCCTTGCTAATCTTGTTAGTGATAATTTCCAATCAAAAGAAATTTCAAAACTTGAAACTGCAAGATGAGCAAAAACGAAAGCATGGATTAATTCAAATCCAGGCAAACTTGATTATAGACAGTTCCTAGTAAATGATGTAGTCAATAAGGCATGAACATTGCATACCTATTGGGCAAGCAATATTTTAGTGGGGACAAATGAAAACTGAAATGTCCACTGGGCGACTGAATTTTAAATTTTTTTTCCTACCCTGCGAACAACTAGTAATTAGTAACAGGACATGTTAACATTCAGCATACAAACAAAGTCATGCCTGATGTGGTCTCCTTCACAACCGTCTACTATTGGGGTTGTCAAGTAATGCTCCCTTCCACGACAACCACTGCTGAAAGCTAAATCACATTGATTTCCTGAGTTGCATGCTAGGAAAAGAGTGCATTTGCAGTCTAATTTTGCAGTTGGGTATTCATAACTCAAATTTGTGGACTGTCGATCCATATGTAGTTTCACTAATGTGTAACAGTTTACAACAGCTAGCATTGATTCAGAGTTTGATCCCCTGATATCTGTTGATGTGAGCGTGTAGCTTAAGATATTTTATCTGTTGCTGATCACCTTACATTTTCATGACAACTCAGTGAGGTTGATTTTACTTTGAGAATAGATTTCCATATTGACTGTTTTTCTCATTCTCATTACCTATCAGTTTTGTGGTGACTGTAAGATTTATACATAGCAGACTCTGATCACACTTGGAGTTAAAGTTCTACAGGCAAATAGCTCTAGAACTACTGTTACCTATCATATTCCTTTGCAGGAGGCCAGAGAAACTGGATCCAAGTTTTGTGTAATGGGGGTGTGCCAACACTGCTTGCATTGTTTTACATGATTGATGTTGGTATTGGTGAACATGCAATTGACTATGCTAAGGATTTTACTGCATCAGTGCTCTCTATTGCCGTGCTTGGATCCTTTGCATGTAGCTGTGGTGATACATGGGCATCAGAAATAGGGACAGCGATAAGTTCCCATGTTCCTGTACTGATTACAACGTTTGGTAAAGTTCCTGTTGGCACAAATGGTGGCGTCACAATAACGGGTACAGTTTCAAGCATTCTTGGTGGTACAGTGATTGGAATTGCCTACTATTCAACCTTGGTAGCAGTCTTGACAATTCGTAGAATCACAGTTATTCCACCCCAGTGGCCAGTCATTGTGATTGGTTGTTTAGGAGGCTTTCTGGGATCTGCTTTTGATTCCTTACTGGGAGCCACATTACAATACTCAGGTTTCTGTTCAGTAAAGAAACGTGTTGTACACAAGCCATCTCCAACTGTAAAGCACATTTCAGGACGATCAATCCTGGACAATCATGGTGTTAACCTTGTTTCATGTCTTCTTACAAGTATTGTAATGCCCATGATAGGGTACTTTTTATGGAAAGGAATAACAGAGACTAATAATTGAGTACCAGTATATTGTGGTTTACAAACTCTAGGTTCTCAGTCGTGAATTTGACTTGCGCCTTGTTGGGAGATAGACAGCCACCTGTACCTTAGTTCACAATAACTGAGAAACAGTAAATAACCTGATGGGTAGTAACTGCACGTTGGGCGTAAGACAAAGAGATGCAAGGCTGGTGCTTGACCAGTATGTGTGGTGGTGTTTGCCAGTCCTCAGTAATAGCAAATTTTCAGTATTGTTTATCTGAAATGCTGTATTTTTGACAGATTGGCATCCCATCCAGGGGATGTAGGGGTACCTCAGCTTTGTAATGCAGAAACCATGTGCTTGAGACCGACTGCACAAACCAGAGTGGCCTTTTGAACTTCAAATAGGTTACAGATTTTTGTATTGAGGAATTGGTGAACCTAGTCAAACTGAGTATTCTTAGATTATGACCTTAGTTTTGCTCAAGAGGCATGATATTACTTTCTTTATAACTTTTAAGCGTTTGTTTTTTTAATGCAGTCGAACCCCTATTAAGGTGGCTCCATAGGGTAATCATTTATGGCGTTGTGCGTGCAAGTGGTATGTTTTGAATGCTGTTTTTGCATTTGCTTTCACACCTAGTCATCTCAAACTTATTACATGTAATAAGCAATGATTACATAGTGTTTTGCTATCATCTCGGTTAAAATTTTGGGATTTAGTCTTAAATTATAAATGCCCAAACAAAAGTGTTTTTTACTGTTTTTATGGCTTTATTTGTGATTTTCATGAATTTCCTTCGGTGAAATCTTCAAAATTTTTACATCACATCGCTTCCAGCGGGATATGAATTTTAAAGTTAACACGAAAAAAGTAGGGTTTGTAAAGGCAGGTTTTTTGATATTTTCAAATTGATGTCTTTTACCGCTGCAAAAAATCTGGTCTTATAGATTTCCCTGAAAAACGAGCTCCGACTAAAGTAAAATATTTGCTACCAATCTGCCAAATTTTACGGAATTTCACCGAAGGAAACGTGAGAAAATTCACTGTTAGTTTTGCTTTTTTGTGCTCATGTTGACGTAATAAAATATCGAAAAACACTGACGTTTTCCTTTGAGCGCATGCAGATTACTTCCTCAGCGCTCGCGCGATCGTAAAACTATAGGGAGCCACCTTAAGCGGCCACCTATTAAGCAGCCACCCTTATTAGGCGGCCAGCAATCAAAGTCCCAATGATGGCTTTTCTATTGTTTCTTCCTCTATTAAATGGCCAACCCCTTTTGAGCAGCCACAGTCCAATTCCCTGAGGGTGGCCGTTTAATAGGGGTTTGACTGTTGTCACTTTTATCAAATTCTCATAGATGGACCTAGAAAGTGCATGATTCTGATTTCATTCTTGTATTTTTATTACTTAGTTTCTCGTTTGTCTCAGGAGGGTGCGTGTTTCTAATTTCATTTACCGTCTATGCTTATTTTGTTATCGAGGTGCTTCTCATTTTGTCATCCTCTGGGTATCCTGGTTTGTATCATCACCAGCATTTGAAGCTTATGGCAAATTTGCCATTGTGGCAACCTTTTAAAGGTATTCCCCTTTTCAACCACTTCCTGAATGTTTTAAGCCAGTGAGGTGAATTCTACCAAAAAGTTGTCATGCTGGTGTCTCCGGAGACCTAATCATCTGATGCATGGTTGATCTTGTAAGGCTAACCTAAATCTTGGGTTGGGTTAACTAGTTGAGGATATGCTTTACACTGGGGAAGTTTTATGTAACTTTGCATTTCAAAACCGCTCATATCAATTTATTAATCACCAAACAAATAAAACAGTCAATCACAGAAATGTGATTAATCCAGTGATCAGTCCCTCTTTCCCATATAAAGTCATTCAAAGTTTTACTCTTTATTTCATAATTTTTAATTTATTTTATATATATAT